ATGGAGCCCCCTGAGTTCATTGACTCGGATCATTTTTAGACATGGCCATGGTCAAAGTGGAAGTTCTCTCCTCCCTTCAGAGAAAGGTACCTCCTTCTTTGATGACCCATTCTTTCCACTGGGATCTCACTCATGGAGATCTTTCATTTAGGTTTTTTTTCCCCCAGAGTGTCTTGGCTTTCCATGCCTGAAATACTCTCATGGGCATTTCAGCCGGATCCGCATGCCTTAAGGGCTGATTCTGAGGCCAGAGTGCTGTTAGGACATTTGCCATTCTATGGGTCTTCTGTGTATCTCATTTCCCATGTTGGATCATTCTCTCCCTTTTTGATTCTATCAGCTAGTATTTGCAGACACTATTCTTGTTTATGTGATCCCTTTGGTTCTTAGTCCTATCATTACGATCAATTGTGAACAGAAATTGATCACTGGGACTAGTGAGATGGCATTGGTACATGCCACCTCGATGGGATTGAATTGGAATCCCCTGGTATGTTTCTAACTCTACTGTTTGAGGTAAGTCAGCTTGAGCATGTCTCGAATTGCACATCTCTTCCCTCTCATTCCCACTCATATTTAACAGCAATCACTTTTCAGTTAAGTTTCAGCACTTAAGAAGAATTGTGTATTGATTACAGTATTCAACTAAAAGTATTAAGCAGAACAAACAAAAAAAATACTAAGAGGGATAACATATTAAGCTGCTCATCACTAGTCAGGGTGAGGGCTGATCAAGTCACCGTTTCTCATAGTGTTCATTTCACTTTAACAGGTTTCCTTTTTGGTGCTCAGTTAGTTGTCACCTATCAAGGAGAACAAGTGGTATTTGTCCCTTTGGGATTGGCTTATTTCACTCAACATAATGTTTTCCAAATTCCTAACAGGGATGACTTTTCAGTTAAAATTTAAACACCTAAGAATTGTGTGTATAAGTTCTTATTTTTCCAAGGGAGGACATTCATAACTGAAGGTTAGGTTCTTGAGGCTAAAACAGAACATCATAGAGCTATGATCCTGTTTTCTGCAATGTTGAGCTCTGAGGCTTGTGGGGAGTAGAAACAGTTGTACCTGTGCTCAGACAGTTCTTCAGACACTGCGGGGGAGACAGGAACTGAACACAGTCTCTGTGACTGTCACAACTTGGCCAGGAGCTCTGATATCTGCAGTGATGTAGAGCTCCTTGAGAGCGCCTGGGTGTATAAGCCAGTCATACCGCCCTCGACTATAAATGGAACACTGCCTGCCACTAGTGTGTTGTTTGTCAAGCATCCTACATTCAAAAAATTCTAGAAAACAATGGAGAGACAGCATTATATGGAGCACACAGATAGAGATACTGATCAGTTCTTCCATCAAAGATGGATTTGTTGCACAGCTATGTCGAATGTTGTCAGCAGACTGCCACCAGCTGCCAGCTCCTTTAGTGTGTTTCAGCTGAAGAGAGCTACCCTGCTTGAGGTCAGCCCCTTCCAAGCAGCCTTCCCAGTGACTAACAAGTGTAGATAAAAAGACAACACAATTGGGACCTGTGGCAATGGCATCCCATATGGGCATTGGTTCAAGTCTCGGCTGCTCTACTTCTGATCCAGCTCCCTGCTGATGACCTAGGAAAGTAGTAGAAGATGGCCCAGGTGCTTGGGCCCCTGCACCCATATGGGACAGAAGAAGCTCCTGGCTCCTGGCTTTGGGTCGGCTTAGCTGGCCATTTGGGGAGTGAACCAATATATGGAAGACATCACTTTCTGTCTCTCCCTCTCTCTCTCTGTAACTCTGCCTGTCAAATAAATAAATAAAACTAAAGGAAAAAAAAAAGAGAGAGAGATAACACAGCTCTTCAAGACAGTATTAAAAAAAAAAAAAAAAAGACAACACAAGAAGCTCCAGATTTCCCTCTGTGTTGGCCACCTTGTCAGGTTTGCACTAGTACTACCATTTTTTCAGCCTCTTCCTGCTTCTTCCTTTCTCTTCAAAAACGTTTCAATGTCTCTCTCCCTAGGACCCAATCTGAGGTTTATTAATTCAGTGCATGAAATGTCTCGTGGTATACTAGAATGAAAAAGCACTGGTTATGATCCCTGAGCTCATGGGAGTTGTTACCCAGTGTGGGTGGCAGATCTTAAATAAAATGAAAAATTAAAATCATACCATTATGGTCACCTTCTGTAATCTACCATCAAAATAACAATGTAACAAATTTGTTGGTAAAAAACCTTATTGATTTTATTTCTTTCACATCTGCAATCTAACACAACTATTCAGTTACTTATCAAACTAGATCACTGGTAGAATCTGACTGCACATAGACTTTTTGTATAACAGCGAATGTAGACCCTAACACAGATTGGCTATTTTTATCCGTCCAGTATCTGCCCTTTCTTGTAAGAGCACCTTAGTTTCCAGTAGTAAATGGCTTCCTGCTAGGGTACCTTCAGGTTCATATGATATAGGTGAGGGAGTGTCACCCAGTTTTGAGTAACTGGGAGTATTCATATTTTTTTTCTTTTTCTTTTTTTGACAGGCGGAGTGGACAGTGAGAGAGAGAGACAGAGAGAAAGGTCTTCCTTTTGCCGTTGGTTCACCCTCCAATGGCCGCCACAGCTGGCGCGCTGCGGCCGGTGCACCGTGCTGATCTGATGGCAGGAGCCAGGTACTTATCCTGGTCTCCCATGGGTGCAGGGCCCAAGGACTTGGGCCATCCTCCACTGCCTTCCCGGGCCACAGCAGAGAGCTGGCCTGGAAGAGGGGCAACTGGGAAAGAATCCGGCGCCCTGACCGGGACTAGAACCCGGTGTGCCGGCGCCGCTAGGTGGAGGATTAGCCTAGTGAGCCGTGGCGCCGGCCGGGAGTATTCATATTTTCCATCCCCCTAGTCTTAGTGACTCATTCAGGAATGTGCACATGACCTAAAGCAGACAACTAACAGTGAGCTCCCTAGACTTACGTTGGAACCACCAGGCAAGAGGCTCTCATTCCAGAAGGATCAGGAGTGGGCAGAATATAAGCCTTGAGTCTCTGGTGGTCATCATTCTGCCTGAGAGTGAGGCTGACTCAGAAATACTGACAACAGCAATGGAATGTACTATTACATCCTACTTACTGTGTGTCACTGTTTCAGGAGGTTTATATACACAGAGCATCTAATCCTTGTAATACACAGATGTATAGATTTAGCACGATGCCCCGGTTCCACAAGTGAATGGCACAGATGAGATCTAAACTCTAGGGGAGTCCATGTCTCTCATGCCACGTACACTGGTTATAAAAATGGGAGTGGACTCTATCTGTTTCAGTGAGCCATTTGAGCACCTACATCCAGACTGGGCCTGCATTGTGTGCCTGAACTCTTTACATAATCAAATCATTGTTATTTTTATTTTGCAAAATCAATCTGAATTGGGTTTATACCACAGAACAGAGGAGTCCTGATTATTCCCCATATTCATCAATGCACTATTTACAATATAAAGTGGAAAGAACCTAACTGCCCTAGGATGGTGGATGACTAAAAGAAACTATAGGAATAATATGAATATGTTTTTTTTTTTTTTTTAAACTTTTATTTAATGCATATAATTTTCCAAAGTACGACTTATGGATTACAATGGCTTCCCCCCCATACTGTCCCTCCCACCCACAACCCTCCCCTTTCCCACTCCCTCTCCCCTTCCATTCACATCATGATTCATTTTCGATTATCTTAATATACAGAAGATCAGCTTAGTATACATTAAGTATGGATTTCAACAGTTTGCTCCCACACAGAAACATAAAGTGAAAAATAATAGATGATTTTTTTAAATGATGATGAAATCAGAGCAGACCTATTGTCATGTTTAATCCCAGTGAGAGTCAAGTTGGGAATTGATAATTTCTTTTTTTTTTTTTTCTTTTTTTTTTTTTTTTTTTACAGAGGATCAGTTTAGTATGCATTAAGTATGGATTTCAACAGTTTGCACCCCCATAGAAACACAAAGTGAAATATATTGTTTGAGTACTCGTTATAGCATTAAATCTCAATGTACAGCACATTAAGGATAGAGATCCTACATGAGGAGTAAGTGCACAGTGACTCCTGTTGTTGACTTTACCAATTGACACTCCTGTCTATGGCATCAGTAATCTCCCTATGCTCCAGTCATGAGTTTCCAAGGCTATGGAAGCCCTCTGAGTTCTCCGACTCTTATCTTGTTTAGACAAGGTCATAGTCAAAGTGGAGGTTCTCTCCTCCCTTCAGAGAAAGGTACCTCCTTCTTTGATGACCTGTTCTTTCCACTGGGATCTCACTCGCAGAGATCTTTTGCCAGAGTGTCTTGGCTTTCCATGCCTGAAATACTCTCATGAGCTTTTCAGCCAGCTCCGAATGCCTTTAGGGCTGATTCTGAGGCCAGAGTGCTATTTAGGACATCTGCCATTCTATGAGTCTGCTGAGTATCTCACTTCCCATGTTGGATCACTCTCCCCTTTATTTACTCCATCGGTTAGCGTTAGCAGGTACTAGACTTGTCTATGTGTTCCCTTTGACTCCCAGTCCCTTCACCATGACCAACTGTGAACTGAAACTGATCACCTGGAACAGTGAGATGGCATTGGTACATGCCACCTCGATGGGATTGAATTGGAATCCCCTGGTATGCTTCCAACTCCACCACTTGGGGCAAGTCAGCCTGAGCATGTCCCAAATTATACATCTCTTCCCTCTCCCATTCCCACCACCATGTTCAACAGGGATCACATTTCAGTTAATTTTCAACACTTAAGAATAACTGTGCATCAATTACAGATCTAAACCAGTCATATTAAGTAGAACAGATAAAAAAAACTACTAAGAGGGATAATGTATTAAGTTGTTCATTAACAGTCAGGGCTATGCTGATCAAGCCACCATTTCCCATAGTGTCCACCTCACTCCAACAGGTTTCCCTCTTGGTGTTCAGTCAGTCGTCACCGATCAGGGAGAACATATGGTATTTGTCCCTTAGGGACTGGCTTATTTCACTCAGCATGATGTGTTCCAGATTCCTCCATTTTGTTGCAAATGACTGGATTTCGTTGTTTCTTACTGCGGTATAGTATTCTAAAGAGTACATATCCCATAATTTCTTTATCCAGTCTATCGTTGATGGGCATTTAGGTTGGTTCCAGGTCTTAGCTATTGTGAACTGAGCTGCAATAAACATTAGGGTGCAGACCGCTTTTTTGTTTGCCAATTTAAATTCCTTTGGGTAAATTCCAAGGAGTGGGATGGCTGGGTCGAACGGTAGGGTTATCTTCAGGTTTCTGAGGAATCTCCAGACTGACTTCCATAGTGGCTTGACCAGCTTGCATTCCCACCAACAGTGGGTTAGTGTCCCTTTTTCCCCACATCCTCGCCAGCATCTGTTGTTGGTAGATTTCTGCATGTGAGCCATTCTAACCGGGGTGAGGTGAAACCTCATTGTGGTTTTGATTTGCATTTCCCTGATTGCTAATGACCTTGAACATTTTTTCATGTGCCTGTTGGCCATTTGGATTTCCTCTTTTGAAAAATGTCTATTGAAGTCCTTGGCCCATCTCTTAAGTGGGTTGTTGGTTTTGTTTTTGTGGAGTTTCTTGATCTCTTTGTAGATTCTGGTTATTAACCCTTTATCTGTTGCATAGTTTGCAAATATTTTTTCCCATTCTGTCGGTTGTCTCTTCACTCTCCTGACTGTTTCTTTTGCAGCACAGAAACTTCTCAATTTGATGCAATCCCAATAGTTGATTTTGGCTTTGACTTCCTGTGCCTCCCGGGTCTTTTCCAGAAATTCTTTGCCTGTGCCAATATCTTGAAGGGTTTCTCCAATGTTCTCTAGTAACTTGATGGTGTCAGGTCGTAGATTTAGGTCTTTAATCCATGTTGAGTGGATTTTTGTGTAAGGTGTAAGGTAGGGGTCTTGCTTCATGCTTCTGCACGTAGAAATCCAATTTTCCCAGCACCATTTATTGAATAGACTGTCCTTGCTCCAGGAATTAGTTTTAGATCCTTGATCAAATATGAGTTGGCTGTAGATGTTTGGGTTGATTTCTGGTGTTTCAATTCTGTTCCATTGGTCTATCCATCTGTTTCTGTACCAGTACCATGCTGTTTTAATTACAACTGCCCTGTAGTATGTCCTGAAATCTGGTATTGTGATGCCTCCGGCTTTGTTTTTGTTGTACAAGATTGCTTTAGCTATTCGAGGTCTCTTGTGCCTCCATATAAATTTCAGCACCATTTTTTCCAGATCTGAGAAGAAGGTCTTCGGTATCTTGATTGGTATTGCATTGAATCTGTAAATTGCTTTGGAAATGTAACAACAGACACCACAGAAATAAAAAGAATCATCAGAAATTACTACAAGGACTTGTATGCCAGCAAACAGGGAAACCTATCAGAAATGGATAGATTCCTGGACACATGCAACCTGCCTAAATTGAACCAGGAAGACATCGAAAACCTAAACAGACCCATAACTGAGACAGAAATTGAAACAGTAATAAAGGCCCTCCCAACAAAGAAAAGCCCAGGACCAGATGGATTCACTGCTGAATTCTACCAGACGTTTAAAGAAGAACTAACTCCAATTCTTCTCAAACTATTCAGAACAATCGAAGAAGAGGGAGTCCTCCCAAATTCTTTCTATGAAGCCAGCATCACCTTAATTCCTAAGCCAGAGAAAGATGCAGCACTGAAAGAGAATTACAGACCAATATCCCTGATGAACATAGATGCAAAAATCCTCAATAAAATTCTGGCCAATAGAATGCAACAACATATCAGAAAGATCATCCACCCAGACCAAGTGGGATTTATCCCTGGTATGCAGGGATGGTTTAATGTGCGCAAGACAATCAATGTGATACACCACATTAACAGACTGCAGAAGAAAAACCATATGATTCTCTCAATAGATGCCGAGAAAGCATTTGATAAAATACAACACCCGTTCATGATGAAAACTCTAAGCAAACTGGGTTTGGAAGGAACATTCCTCAATACAATCAAAGCAATCTATGAAAAACCCACAGCCAACATCCTATTGAATGGGGAAAAGTTGGAAGCATTTCCACTGAAATCTGGAACCAGACAGGGATGCCCACTCTCACCACTGCTATTCAATATAGTTCTGGAAGTTCTAGCCAGAGCTATTAGGCAAGAAAAAGTAATTAAAGGGATACAAATTGGGAAGGAAGAACTCAAACTATCCCTCTTTGCAGATGACATGATTCTGTATTTAGGGGACCCAAAGAACTCTACTAAGAGACTATTGGAACTCATAGAAGAGTTTGGCAAAGTAGCAGGGTATAAAATCAATGCACAAAAATCAACAGCCTTTGTATACACAGACAATGCCATGGCTGAGGAAGAACTTCTAAGATCAATCCCATTCACAATAGCTACAAAAACAATCAAATACCTTGGAATAAACTTAACCAAAGACGTTAAAGATCTCTACGATGAAAAATTACAAAACCTTAAAGAAAGAAATAGAAGAGGATACCAAGAAATGGAAAAATCTTCCATGCTCATGGATTGGAAGAATGAATATGTTGACATATATAGTCACCTAAATATTTGTGAGGAATATTTATGGAAATTTAAAATGCTATTTTTTTAAAAAATGCATAATCATTATAACAATTTTATAAATAAGGTGTGCATCAAAATGATTGGAATAAAATATAACAGAATACTGTAAAAATTATGAGAAACATATTTTTCCTGAATTCGTGGAGTTTTCCATAAGGTTTTAAAACTGAAGGAGAAAAAGCATTAAAAAGTGAAATACTCTTACCTCCAAAATATAAAACTCTTTGGATATTGTACTTTATTATTTTTAAGCACTTATATATTCATTTATTAGAAAGGCATAGTGACAGTGAGGGAGAGGAAGATCTTCCATCCACTGGTCCACTCCCCAGTGGACACAACAGCTCCTGAATCTAGGAGCCAGGAACTCCATCCAGGTGTCCCATGTGCGTGGCAGGGGTCCAAGTACTTGGGACATCTGCTGCTGCTTCTCAGGCATATTAGCAGAAAGCTGGATTGGAAGTGGAACAGCAGGGACATGAACTGGCACTCTAGATATGGGATGTCAGCATTGCAAATGGCAGCTTAACTAGCTGCACCACAATGCTGGCCATAAGTATCTTAAAAATTCAACCAAAATCCAACTTACAATCTGTTCAAACTCAGAATGTAAACTTCATGAAAGCAACTTCTCTTTTTTACATTTTTGTTCACAGTGGTTACACTAATACTTGGAACCTAAGTGCCTATAGAATGAAAGTTGAACTATAACATCTTATTTTTCAAGCAAAATGCTTATTACATAACAACTGGGTTTTTCAAGACATTTAAGTTAAGATTTGGGGCAAATCAATGCTCAATCTGATTTGATGTTATTGCTATGGGTTAAAAAGGATCTGGCTTCTTTACTCAGCAGACATTTAAATTCCAAGGTTGTGGACTGGCTTATGCTGGGGGTTGGAGGCTTGATTTAATTAATGTGTCTGGAAGGTGAATCTAGTGAGAGATCTTAGTTCTTCTAGGCTATGTCCTCAGAAGGTGGTTTTTTGCAAGAGGGTTGCTTATATAAGCTTGAGTTGGGCCTAGCCACTCATCTGCCTGCTTTTGTTTGCCAGGTGATCATTTCTCCCTACATGTTCCGTCATTGCCCAGCTATGACCTCATCTGTTAGCAAAATCAATGGGTCCATCTGATCTTGGACTGTGAACCACCAAAGTTGTAAGCCAAAATACATCTCCTTCCATCATTAGTAGCATATTTCAGGTATTTAGTTGTAGTGAGAAAAGTCTAATACAATCATTTTAAGAGTTTAAAAAATTTACTTGTTTATTTAGTTGAAAGGCAGAGAATGAAAAGGGAGAGAAAAAAGATCTTCCATTAGTTCCATTGTCCAAATAGCTACAATATTCAGGTCTGGGGCAGGCCAAAGCCAAGAGCCAGGGATTCCATCCTGGTCTCTAACATGGGTAGTAGGGACCCAAGTACTTGGGCCATCTTTTAGTGCCGTCCCAGACACATTAGCAGGGAGCTGAATTGGAAATGGAGCAGCTAGGACTTGAATCAGTACTCAAATCTGGCTTAAAAATAAATGCCTCGGTGGGTGTTGTGGTGCAGTGGGTTAAGCTAATACTTGGAATGTCTGCATCCCCAGGATCGAATTCTGCCTCCAAATTGGATACAGTTTCTTGCTAATTCACACCTGGAAGGCAGCAGATAATGCCTCAATTACTTGAGTACGTGATACCCATGTGGGAGAACTGGGTGCAGTTCCCAGTGCCTGGCTTCAGCCTAACCTAGTTCTGGCTGTTGCAGGCATTTAGTGTAAACCAGCAGATCCCCCCCCCCCCATACCCCCATCTCTGTTGCTCTGCCTTTCAATTAAACTTTTTTTTTTTTTTTTTTTGACAGGCAGAGTTAGAGAGACAAAGGTCTTCCTTTTCCGTTGGTTAACCCAAATGGCCGCTACGGCAGGCGTGCTGCATTGATCCAAAGCCAGGAGCCAAGTGCTTCCTCCTGGTCTCCCACGTGGGTGCAGGGCCCAAGCACTTGGGCCATCCTCCACTGCCTTCCCGGGCCACAGCAGAGAGCTGCACTGGAAGAGGAGCAACCGGGACAGAAGCCGGCGCCCCAACTGGGACTAGAACCCGGGATGCCAGCGCTGCTGGCGGAGGATTAGCCAAGTGAGCCACAGCGCTGGCCTCAATAAAGCTTTTAAAAACAAATAAATGCAGAGCCTGTGTTGTGGTATAGTGGATAAGGATGCTGCCTGCAGTACTGGCATCCCATATGGGTGTCAGTTCGAGTCCAAGCTGCTCCACTTCCAATCCAGCTCTCTGCTATGCTGGGAAAGCAGTACAAGATAGCCCAAGTCCTTGGGCCTCTGAACCCACGTGGGAAGACCCAGAGAAAGCTCCTGGCTCCGGGCTTCAGATTGGTGCAGCTCTGGCCACTGCGGCCAACTGGGGACTGACCCAGCAGATATAAGACCTTTCTCTCTCTCTCTCTCTCTGCCTCTCCTTCTCTATCTAACTCTGACTTTCTAACTCTGACTTTCAAATAAATAAATAAATCTTTAAACAAAACAAATAAATGCTATTATTTTGGAAAGCAACTTAAAAATATTTTTCACGTGGTTATTCAGCTAAAAGTTCATTTATTAGTTTTAAGTGAAAAATACAGAGAAAAATGAATGAAAAAAGTATACAAATTATCTTGATATGTGTTGCTACATACTGTACTAACCTCTGATACTGCATAAAACTATCAGTATGCTTGCTGTTAATACATGCCCTGAATCAAAGGCTAGATGGAGACCTAATAAGCAGGGTTCTTCATGCCAGCTGTCCTCAGTAGCCTCCAGCTCTCATTTTTGAGCTGCCTTAAGTAACTGCAGATTTCTGAAAATGTAAGAAGACAACTGGGAAGTATCTGATGGTGATAGACTGAAGCTCTTAACAAACAGTTTCAGAGAAAAGCTTATGACCACAACCGAGGTATCAGAACTTCAGGCTGAAAACAATAGGGTCTTTCCATTATCAGATTATATTATGTCTTCTCTGAAAATAAATTCACACTCATCTCAGAGTCTCCAAGATCTTTTATTTTTAGAGTCCAATTTTTTTCTAGGAAGCAGCAAAATCGAAAAGTGTTCTTAGTAGTCATCTTACAAAACTGCCCATTATTATTGACATGGAAAACTGAATGCAGTGATTTTTTAAAAAGATTTATTTATTTATTTTAAAGTCAGAGTTAGAATGCAATGATTTTTTAAATAATAATATATTAACATAGAATCATGAGATATCCAGTGATTAGAATTTAGTCATGCCTGGGAAGGAACAGAAGACAGTGGCTAAACACATGCTTTATAAAAGAAAACTAATTGGTACACTTAGGATGACTAACATTAAGGATTTAGTATAATACATTTTTCCTCAGAGGAAACAATTTTAGTTTTTAAAGAGTATTCACTTCAGACATTTCAATTCCTGATTTCAGTGGCTGCACACTCTGTACCTCTGTTCCACATTTAGGACAAGTAAAGTACATGTCAAATAAGAAACTGCTCTTAGCACAGAAATAACAGAAAACATGCTCACATCCTATGGTATGAGGCATAGTGGGCCACTCTCCACACAGAGAACATTCTTTGCCACTGGTGGCTAGTGTGCTGTCACTATTAGGAGCACCAGTAAGAGGGATGCACCATGAAGATAACTTGGCTTTTAACTTCTGGATATTGATAAGTGGTAAAAGAAAAATCAGAAACTCCGCAAAACCATGCCAGAGAAGTTCCCTATTCATATACTCAAAGCCAACTTCTCGGACGTTTTGGGGCTTGCAAAACACAGAACGAATGCCTAGGAGACGTTCTGTCAAAGTTGCAAACTTTCCCCTTTGAAGGAAAATCAAAAAATTAATCAACTCACCTAATTTCCAAAGTCCAACCACAAAATTCACAGACTGCTTGACTTTCCCGAATGATGCTAAGTGACGGTTTCGAAACAAATCATAGCATCTTTCTTCTAACCACCTCCCACCAACTGTACAAACAGCATACCAGAGCTTTTGATTTTTACTTGGTGGTTGATACTTCAGATTCGAAGAAAAATCATTTTTATACCGAATATTCAAAACTGACTGTCCCACAGTGGCATTTTTGGAGTAGATGGTGAACCTCCACAGGAAAAGCCACAAGAATGCTTTCACTTCTGGTTCAAAGTGGGCTAACAGCCCTGGCTTAAATCCATGAAAGCACTGAGTAAACTGGGACCAAACTAGCTGCTCCAGGGCCTTGTTTAGTTCAAGTGCATCCAGCTGACTTATTCTTAACACTCTATTTGCACTCTTGGTATTCTCTTCTTTGGGAGCCATGTCTTCTCTGAAGGTCTCTAGGAAAAAATAATTAGAGAATATCATTAAGCATTCATAATGTTATGGGCCCTTCCGTCCTATAATAGTGAGTGAATAATCGCTTCATCAAACTCCTCTCTCTCTTTCCTTTCTTCCTTTTCCTCCTTCATTTTGTTTCTTTTTTTCTTGACCTTCCTCATCAAGGTGCAACAATTACTTAGAGAGAGAGAGGCAAACCTTGTGTCCACAAACATACTTTCATACCCTTTGGTCAGATATTCTAGTAGGGAGACATCAAAATCCTGAAGCTAACACTGATGAAGCTGGGTAATAATGGAAATATATATAAATGCAATACAAACAAAGATCTATATGGAACCTTCCAATGATGGTTAAATAAAGACTTATTTAATTTCCAGCATTCCTACTGATTTCAAAAAGTTACTTACTGTTTCTTTAATATATTTTAATTTGTAAAGGAAAGTAAAATAAATAAATAATACTTCTATTCATATTAGAATATGAATATTAGCATTAAGTACTAAGGAAAGGCTGGTATTATAGTGCACTGGGTTAAGCCACATCCTTCAATGCTGGCATCTGGGCTTCAGTTCCAGAGCTGGCTGCTCCACTTCTGATCCAGCTCCCTTCTAACATGCCTGGGAAAGCAGCAGAGGATGGCTCAAGTCTTTGGGCCCCTGCACTCACATGGGCGATCCAGAAGTAGCTTTGGGCTCCGGGCTTCAGCATGGCCCAGCCCTTGCTGTTGCAGCCATTTGGGGAGTGAACCAGTGGAAGGAAGATCTCTCTCTCTCTCTGGTTCTTTCCTTCTCTCGCTCTGTAATTCTGCTTTCATATAAATACATCTTTTTTAAAAAAAACACTAAGGATACTAAAATGTAGACAGCACATCAAGAATAGAAAACTATTATATAAAAATAGGTACTAGGATAATTTTGTAAACACATTAGGGAAACAAATGGGTGCTAAAGGACAAATGTTTTAAAAATCATTAAAAGCTGACTGTGTTAGCTAGGTAGGGTTGACTGACTCAGAACACACTTATTAAATATCTATCATGTACAAGCTGATGCAATTAAAACAGGCCCTGTTAACTGAATATATAGATCAATGTAGATATTTAAAATTTTATTAATGTATTGGCAAATCCAAACTATGACCAAAAACTATGCTTAAATTTAGTTTCTAAAATATTCCCTCTGTTTGATCTCATTTATAGGTGGAGTCTAAAGAAACTGAACTGACAAAAGCTAAAGTGTAATTATGGCTCCTAATGGATGAGGGGTGGGAAAAGATGTTGGTCAAAGGGTACGCATTTTCAGTGATATAATGAAAATGTTTTGGGGAGCCTAGATATCTGAAGGTGACTGTAGTTAACAACACTACATTGTTTATATGAAACTTTCTAAGAAAGTACATCTTAAATGTCCTCATCACACACACATAGATAAAGCAGACACATAAAATACACATACACATAAATGGCAAATACTATGGATGATGAAGGATGTATGTGAACTAACTTGACTATGGTAGTCATTTCATAACGCATATGTATATGAAATCATCATGTTCTACTCTTTGAATACCTACCATTTTTGTCAGTTATGCTTCAATAAAGCTAGAAAACAACACAAAATAAGGTAAAATGGGTCCTCAACACATCTAAGTGCATGATCATGATCTGCAGGTCTCTGAAAAGCCCAAGGCACTAACAAAAAGAACAGTTACATAGGGAGGCATGAATCCTGCTGAACTTCACGGCCACTGATGGCCATTTATCTTAGATGTGGACATGTCATTTCACTGAAGCTCTGTTTCTTCAATTGCAAAACAAAAAGTCTGAAACAAAATGACCTTTCAAATTCTGTTATTTTATTATCTTTACTAAAAAAAAAAGATGTTCAATGTAATCTTAGAAGATAAAAAGACTGAAAACTCATCCTAAAAAAGTTTACTTATTGAAACCAGGAATATATTTGATAACATTAAAATGTTTATGAGAGGCAAGTTTTACCATTACCTAGGGGTTCTATGTGACTTAGTGGCTGAACACTACATCCTTAATAATTTCAAGTTCAGGAAACAAACATGACCACTGAGTAACAGGTTACTTGGTGTTGTTTTCCAAACAAGTTACATGACAGGAATGGCTTCCTAACCCTTTAAGGCCAATAGCTTTCTGGAAGATCTCACCTTTTTCCCCTTCCTGCAGCTTCCTCAAGACTTGATAGTCTACAGCAATGACAGTGGGAATTTCTGCTGCAAGTTCTGTGAAATCCTTGCCTCATACTTGCCAGGGGCTACAGAAAAGAAAGAATGGGTTAGAAAGACAGTTCCCTTTCCTCACTCTCCTAACCCAATCCATCATCAAGGACTGTGGATTCTTTGCTCAAAATATTTTTGTAATCCATTCATCACTCTATCCTCTAGAAGTCTTTTCCTGAATTCTGGCTGCTCTCCTCCCCTCTATATCAATTACATCCAATTGGTCAATTTGACCTTTGCCTTTTTTCAGTGAATTTCTCCACACTGCAATGGTTTTAAAAGGCAACTTCCTCGAACCTACCCACAGTTTGCTTTCCTTCCTAATGAACTAATAACTAGTCATGAAGTGCCACCTTCTCTTGTTCACTAGTGGACTTTACTGTCTGTCTCCTTTGCACAGATGTGCGTTCCCATTCCTTAACTGAAAAACTCAATACTAAGGTTTTAAGTACAGATGAACAGTTCTTAACTGAAACGCTTAAGATTAAAAGTGATTCAGATTTTGGAGCTCACTGGATTTTGGAATACATGCATAGATTTCACTGACTAAGCAACCCTAATTAAAAAATCCTAAGTGTGAAATGCTCCAAAATCTTTGGGGAGTCTTGTTGGTGCTTGAAATGTTTTAGATTTTGGGACATTTTGGATTACAGATTAGGGATGATCAACCTGTATTGCTATCGGCATCACTTTCACCTGACTCTCCAAATTTGGGCTAGCTGCCCCTTCTAGGTGTTCCATTGGCTCTGTTCTTCCTCTTTCAGGGTCTCTATGTACTATACATGAATTACTTTTTAATTGTCCATTTCCTCACTAGAAGATAAGCACTGTTGTAAAGATTATTTGAGCCTTATCACTGGCTAAGCACAGTAGCTATCACGGTTCCTGGAACACAGAGGGCATTCTATATATATACTGGATGAAAAGATAAGTGAACAGGATGAAAGCCTGAAGTTTGTGAAGGGAAGAAAATATAAATTCCCATCCATTAAAGTTCAAAAGTACTTCAAATCAGCATATTCAGAATTTTGATGATTAGTTATTTCAACATGTTTGTGTTGTATCTGCTATTCAGTTAACATGTTCTGGAGCAGTGATATAATGGCACAATATAGTTTTGATCCTTGTACGGCCTGTATTCTATCAGAATGAGAGAAGGAGGAAAATAAGGCTGTGCTGTATAAAATGACAAGGCAATTATAGTTAGGTGAAATAAGGTATATGTAAGGCACTATGTTTACAACTACACTTCAGAGCCCAGAGAAGGCTTCCTGGAAGAGGAAAATTCTAAGCAGCTGCCTAAAGGATAGATAGTGTCAACCTGGTGAAGGAGGGTAAGAATTTTGTTCCAAGGAGAGAAAAGGACCATGAGAGAGGCAGGGCAAGAGATAATACAGGACATGAAAGCGGATTCTAAAGGCCCTAAACACCATGTCCCAGGAGGATGTATTTTATCAAGATGACCATGGGGGAGTCTTTTAATAATTGTATGCAAAGAATTAATCAGATTTGTATTTCAGACTGTTTGATCAATCTGAGAGTAGATTAGAGGCTGAGGGAAAGACTGGTAGCAAGAGAGCATTTAAGACATTGTTAAAATGATCTAGTGAGAAAGGAAGATGATCTGAATTAGAAAAGGATCAGTGAGAACAGCAAAACAAAAAGTATCTTTAAATCCTATGAGATGGCAACACTGATACTAGTAGTGGTAAATGAACCAAGAATAAGTGACTGAGTGGACTGCGAATCAGTTGTCTGAAATAGGATGTATCCATACATGAAGTGACATAGGTTTGGAGGGAAACACAATCAGTACATGTAATTTTAGAGATACAAGGCTCTTACGGGACATGTAAGTGGGAAAATTCAATAGATAGTTCTGTCAATATGGAAGGAAAATCTGGGTGCAAAATATATAAGTTTGAGACCCCTCTGGTAGGACATTTATTATAAATCTAGTTGATTCTTAAATGTAATATCAGGAAGGCAATAATTTAAACAAGGGAGAAAGATCTTTATTTACAACACATTGTCTACTTACTTTCCTAGATCTTGGTCAGGACGCTTAAAAAAGTAAAAAGACAAGTAGGGCTAGATATATGGTATCATAGTTTCCAAAAGGCAATATATAAATTTCAAAATTATATCAATAGAAGAACTCTAAATTATCTCCCACAAACATACATGAATAAATTATTATTTTTTCACTTTTAATTGCAGTTAACAAATTTTCTCTTTTAACTCAATTATTCATGTAATTAACAAAAAAAAGCCTGAAACATGAAACCTCAGCATTAACACACAATTATTCTTAGGTGTTTAAATTTAACTGAAAAGTGAACCCTGTTAAATATAAGAGTGGGAATAAGAGAGGGAGGAGATGTACAGTTCGGCACATGCTCACTCGGACTTACCCCTAATGGTAGAGCTAGAAACATGCCAGGGGATTCCAATTCAATCCCATCAAGGTGGCATCTACCAGTGCCATCTTACTAGTCAGAGTGATCAGTTTCAGTTCATAACTGATCATAATGATAGGATTAAGTGTCAAAGGGATCACATAAATGAGACAAGTGTCTGCTAATACTAACTGATAGAATTAAAAAGGAGAGAATGATCCAGCATGGGAAGCAAGATACACAGCAAACTATAGAATGGCAGATGCCCTAAACAGCACTCAGACCTCAGAATCAGCCCTTAAGGCACTCGGATCTGGCTAAAAAGCCCATGAGAGTATTTCAGGCATGGAAAGCTAAGACACTGTGGCAAAAAAAAAAAAAAAAAAAAAAAAAAAACAACAACAAAAAAAACACCTTAACTGAAAGATCTCTGTGAGTGAGATCGCAGTGGAAAGAACGGGCCATCAAAGAAGGAGGCACCTTTCTCTGAAGGAGGAGAGAACTTCCACTTTGACCATGGCCTTGTCTAAATAAGATCAGAGTTTGTAAACTCAAGAGGCTTGGATAGCCTTGGCAGCTCATGATAAGAGCCTCGGGTGATTACTGACATCATGAATAAGAGTGTCAATTGTTAAATCAACAACGGGAGTCACTGTGCACCTACTCCCCACGTAGGATCTCTGTCCTTAATGTGTTGTACTATGAGAATTAATGGTAAAACTAGTACTCAGACAGTACTCTATACTTTGTGTGTCTGTGTGGGTGCAAACTGTTGAAATTGTTACTTAGTATATACTAAGTTGATCTTCCTTATATAAAGATAATTGAAAATGAATCTTGATGAAGGATAGGATGAGAGAGGGAGTAGGAGATGGGATGGTTGTGGGTGGGAGGGAGGTTATGGGGGGAAAAGCCGCTATAATCCAAAAGTTGTATGTTCGAAATTTATATTTATTAAATAAAAGTTTTAAAAAATTCACTTGTAAAAAAATAAAATCAACACTAAAAAAATCTTATAAACTAACACAAATCTAGTATCTTTTGCTCACACTAACCATACTAACTTTTTCTTATCTTATTATTACCCCTAGGATAAAGTTGTCAGACCTAAACTAACCTAATCTTGTCTCCAACTTTGTAACAGTGCATTGCACCCTTTCCCAATGTAACCTGTAATACCAGACCATCTTCAGACCTGTCTTAGTGCCTCCTTTCTTGTACCTAACCCACCTATCTTTTCTTCCCATCGATTCCCACTGTTCTAGACTAGCTGCCCTTTATATTGCAACTGTATTTCAACACTCTCCATTAAACCTCCACCCATAAGCTCAGTCCATTATTACTACTGTGAACTCCTCAAGCCATTGTACTATGTTTACAATCATGAGAATACATCGTCTTTCCCTAACCTGAATGCAAGCTAGTTCAGGGAAAGCAACGTTATCTCATATTTCAAAAGTACTGCCGTCTACAAAGTGACCTTGATTCCTAACTCAGTTTCCCTTAAGCAAACTTCTATGGTCACTCAGGAGGTGTGGGAAAATATTAAATCTAACTCTTCTATTGAAATAACATCTATAAATCTGCATCTTCCTCAGATTTCATATTCTGTGGTCACCAACATAGTGAAAATTTCATACTATGGAACTACTCATGAAAAGCTCTGACCATACCAATACCAGATACCAATATAAATCTAATATAATCAGTAATCTCCCTACCCTCACTCACACATCAATACTGTACTAGATAGATTGCTATTATTTTAGCTGAGTGCCAGATGAAATATTTGGCCTACCTTAGATGGCCAGTTGCGTTAATTTATATTTCTTTAAACACTAGGGTTTTAACAGTTCCAGACTGTGGCTGATGAATATCTTACTCTTACAGTTCTAGAATTTACCACAAAGGCACCTGGTAGTTGCTCCATAAATGCTTATTGAACTTATACAGTAGAATTAGTAGGTTAGAAGCCAATTAATGTAATAGCTGAATATTGTGTGTGAGCATTTGGATGAGATTCCTTACTGATATTTAATGAGGAACTGTTAAGACAGTGGTTTCTAGAGGAATGTTCTATTTCAAATCCCTTGTTTCTGGAGAAATCATACTTAAAAACATTTAGTAATGATAGAAATTTTAATGACAGCCAGAAAGGGAGACTTAACACAGTCTTCAACTGATCTAACATTTAACAATACTTAAAAACACACACACACACACACACACACACACACACACACTCACACACAACCTTCTTTCTCATTCCTTCTGTTACAGTTTAACATTTTTTTCTTTTTTTTCCCCTCATGCCTGGCCTCAATGTAGATTAGGAACAGCTGGGCCCACTTTCCTCCCTACATAAGGTTCTTTAATAGACCAAAAGACTATTATTAAACTGTTCTTCAGCCTTTGCTCGTCCAGATGAATAATCTGTTTCTCTATTTTTACTTAGTTTTTATTTCCCAACATTTTGATCATTTTTTGATTTCTTTGAGTTACACACACACACAGGACACTGTCCACTTCATATCACAGTTCTTTAAATTAGGATACCTCTGTTGTACTGTACATGTGTCTGCAGACAACTGTGATAGGGTGGAAAATGCATATTTAATGTCAAACAGGCCTGGGCT